TTGCCGAGCGGGGCAGGTCTACGATCCTGGGGGGCTTACGTGAATTACAATTTTATATGTTGAAAGGATTCAAATTCGCTAATTAAACGCCAGCAAAATATTCCCTATGCAATGCAATAATCGCGTTGGTACAAATCAGATCTCGGTCTTGATGCGAGTCTTCTGGCTTGGAGATTCAGTTCCCTATGTATAGTTAGCTCTCTGAACATTGAAAACTCTCAAAGAAACTCACTTCAGCTTTTCGCTTGCCCAAGACAGAGTCAGGCGTGCTAGTCCGGGTCTGGCGTGTCGGTGCAGGGCCTTTAGTCACTTCGGAATAGCAGCTGGCATGATATACACGACTTCCGACCTTGGTCGCGTCTTGCCAGATCCAGTCCTGGACATCCTCAGACCAGGTCGATTCAAACTTCTCCTGGCAAATAGGGCATGGGGTGTTGCGGAGAGTGGCATCGTTTGGAGCTCGAATCCAAGGTTTGGGCGGCTCTTGCTTGGTATTTCCATCCACACCCGCAGCTCCTTCAGCAGTAGCTTGGGGGTCCTCAGCGCCGTTCACGTCGCCAGCCTCCCGAGATTTGATCCAGTCCTATAGAAATTAGAAATGAAACTTAAGGAAATACAAAAGATAAACATACCCTTTCGTCAACATACCAGCTACGATTCTGAGCTCGCCTGGAAGACTCGGTCATGCGCTGATTGGTCTTAAAATGCCAGTCCAGGTGTCGGGCCTTCATTTCCTTGCCTTCGTCCGTGGTCAGGAAGCGACGGCCGCAAGTTCCACATCGGTTCGGTCGGGAATCATAAAGAGAGACAATCAGTCCGAATCGAGGAATCTTCATAGACGCGGTGCTCATGGGAACTCCAGAGGATCCGTTGGAGGGAATTGCAGTTTGAGATGGAGCGGGTGGTGTAGGTTGCATTCCATGGGGCAAAATGAAAGGCAAATTAGATCTCCCGGAAACTGGCGTCGAAGTTGAAGGCGTAAGAGGTGATGGTGTCGGACCACCAGGTAGAAGTCCACGTGCCCTCAAGGCCGCAATAAGAGGGTTCTCCGTCGCCGGCTGTGAAGGACCGGTTTGGTGAGGATATTGGGGCATCTGAGGTAGCACTGCCGGAATTTGAGGTGGTGGGGTAGACTGTTGACGTGAAGCGGTAGCTTTGATCAGCTCGGCGAGAGTGTTATGGTTTAATAGTTGGTGAAGGGGCTGGGAGACAGGTTGCGCCGGTGGTGTGGGGATCTGTGGAGCGGGCACTGCCGATACATTCGTAGCAGTATTAGGGGCAACCGACGGCGGTCTTGTGGCAGCAAGCGCTGAGACCTGATCGCGGACAAGTTTCAACTGATCTGGGGCGAGCTGTTGTTTCTTTAGAATGGCCTGAAGATCCACCAAAGCTTTCAAGCGCTGCTGAGAGACAGGGTTAAAAGGACTATTAGCAAAGTCAATCTTTGCAGAAGCGATCAGGGCATCCACGTCTCGATTGAGGTAGCTCAAATCGATATCATGTCGATGAGTCTGGGGAGGTGCCTGTACCCACGTTAGCTTTGAATAGGACAAATGAAAGTAGTCTTACCGAATTAGAACCATTAGTGGGATGGTTTTGTGGAGGCCGAGGCATGTTCTGAGGTGTAGAGCTGTTGGTCCACCCAGTCGGTGTCACATTTCCACGACTACGGCCGAGTATGTCTGGTTGGGCCCTGGCCTGTTGCTGTTGCAAAGCCGCAGTTCGTGCTTTAATGAGAGCAGTTTCGATGTTGCGGGTGATATCGGGAGGGAAGACTGGGCGAGTGTCCAGGGAGCCTGGGGCCGGTTGCTTCCATGTGTTGAGCATCTCATCCAACTTCCTTCGCGTATTTCCATCAACCAGAGTATAAACATTCATGAATGTCTGGTACATATTCCGGCCAAGAAAGAGGGTGTAGGGGCTTCCAACATTCTTGACGATGGAATCGGCTACATAGAGGGCTGGAAGCTTCTGTAGGGGTGGTGTCTACAAATTGATTAGTATCCCGTACTACACGAAAAGAAAAACAGGAGCACCTACTGTTCGAATATGGTTCTCCAGGACCCGGGAGATAGCCATTGCGTGTTCGGTGTTCTCTTTGGCGATAACAGTCAGAGTGCGAATTTGAATTCCATCATTGGTGGTTAGATCCTCCAAGGAACTCTTGTAGTCCTCGGCAATTTCGTCGGAAATGAGGCCGGACATTATGGCGATGTGGGATGAGTCGAGATCTGGATTTTATCAGAGATGTCGAGAGTAGAAATCAATACCAAGGCGAAGTTCAGCACGTGTTTTTTCACTTCTTTGTTTCTCTTGTGTGCCGAGTTTGTTTTTCTGTTTCTTCACTTCTTTGGTTTCTGTCCTCTTCCCTTGTAACTATCACTGTCTTTTCTTCTTAATCCTTGTCGTTCCAAGGAACAAATTCTCTTGGATCAACGCAAAGATGGAGAAATAGTCGGAACTTGTAAATGCTTGCTAGCTATCTTTGCGAGAATTGAGAAAACAAAAAGATTCAAATGCTCTCAGTCCAACCCAGCCCCGTGACCTTCCAGCACCCTTATCTACCTTCCAAAGAATCGCCGTGTGGAACGAGGGAAGAAATGCTAGGAAAAAGCGGCGAAAAACCCCAAGGGATGAGAATGGAAAATGAAGAAACAAAAGAGACCAATGGATAAATGCAAGAAAACAGCGCTGTGTAGTAGTGAAGCAATGGAAATTGAATTAAGAAAAAGAAAGAGAGAGAGAGAGAGAGAGACGTGAAGTGGTGAGGCGCCAAAGAGAAAGGGATTGTCAGAGAGATAGAGTCATGTGATCATATGACGCCAGTGCCTCAGAACCCCCTCAGACTTCCAATGTTGTCTTCTACTTTTATTACTACCACTACTACTACTACTACTACTACTATTCTTCTCATTTTCAAATATGAAGCTTACATTTGCTGCTTTGTTAGTTCTACCACTGGTACTAGCTGGATCGCTCAAGTCCGTCGTCATTACTTTCCCCAAGGGAACACCTGACTCGGTGGTTAACCAGGCCAAAGCATCCCTAGTAGCTTCAGTATGCATTGCTTCTTTGTATATTATGATATCTAAACTGACACTTTTAGGGTGGCATCATCACGCATGAGTACCGTAAGTACCTTATCACTTAGAGATATCATTTCATTGCTAACATACACAGATTTGATCAAGTACGATTACAACATTTTCTGTCCCTATCCATTTTCTAACTATGACTTCAGTGGCTTCGCCGCCGAGGCTCCTGTGAGCACTCTCCAGACCCTTTCCACGCAGGATACCCAATACAAACCAAATATCGAAGAAGATAAGGTTGTGAATGCATATGGAGACTATGCGGCAGTCTAATATGCCCTCTTCAATGAGCTGCTGGGATTTGTGAATCTCTGAACATATAACGTCTAGAGGCAAACTCACCCAGGATAACACTCTTGGAAATATTTGGGTGATTTTAATACCTCGGCGTTTGGGTGTATACAATGTGGAGTCGTTGGGCCCTTATGTTTCTATGTATGGCATTAGGGGAAACATATTAGTGTTTACTGGTTTTTCTTTATTCTAAACCATACTTACAATATATGTATGTTGTATGATTTATATGTATACCTGAGATAGATATATGTAGTAAGGAACAGGGCACGCCGATCACCTTTCCCCCCGCTAGTTAATTCCCGTTGTGGCCCCGAAGACGCGTGGATCCGCTAGAAACTCCTTTGAGAGCCACCCCAAAGCATTTCACATCCCTTTGGCTCGGATATGTTGGAATTGTATGCTTCTTTGACATTCGATTAAACGCGTCAATCGCCATGGCGTCGGAACATACGGTGACCAAGGTTCTATTGGAATGGATCAACAGCTTCTCCTTAGGCAAAACTCTCCGAACTACTGATGAGTTGACCGATGGAATCATCTTGTGGGAGATTCTCCAGGATATTGACCCCCAGTATTTCCTTGAGGAAATACCAGAGCGCAACTCTTCTGACCATTGGGTGGCCAAGTGGCAGAACCTGAAGCACATCCACAAACTATTGCTAAACTACATTCGACACCAAAACGATGACATCCTACCCTCCGGTCTCGATCCATCACCCGATCTTGAATCTATCGCCGAAAAATCCTCTACCAAGGAAACGAACAAGCTCCTGAAGCTTCTCCTGATTGCGGCCATCAGCTCCCCCAACGCCGGAACATACGTACAAACACTTCAGGAACTAAGCACCTCGACACAAGAGGGGCTCAAGGATATTATCGAAGAGGCGCATAATGGTCAATATGAGCCGATGGACGCTGCGGACGAGCTTAGGGAAGATCTGGCCAAGCACGATCGCCCTGTGGACCTAGAACTGCAGTTCGAAGAACGCGTCGGAAAGGTGCTTGCGGAGAATGACCGTCTAACACACGAGAAAAAAGAATTGGAAAAGGCATTGGAGGACCTACACAATCGCCTGGCGCGTCTCCAGGAGAACAATGACACCCTGCAAAACCGTCTCGCCTCCACCGAGGACCGGCTGGTTACATTGAAGTCTGGAAAGGGTGATATCGGGTTCAATGCAAAGGCATTGGAAAGCAAGACCCGTCAACAGGACGATTTGATTGCCTCTCAAGAAGCGAAGTTGACCGCGGCGCAAGACGAAATCGACAGCCTTCGGATGACAGTCGAGTCCCTGCGGGTCAAGAACCAGCGCTACCAGAAGTTGCAGGATGACTATGATGAGCTCCGTACCGAGAAGGACCAGCTCGCGCGCAAGGCAAATGCCGCCGAGAAATACCGCCAAAAGCTGCAAGCCAGCCAGGACTTTGAGAAAGAGAACCAGACCCTCAAGAACCAGATCAAAGACATTCAGCAGCAGCTAAAAGAGTCAGACTCACAACAGCGATGGTCTTCGGAGCGCGATGTGGAACTGGAAGAATACCGCAAGCTTCTACCACAAGTCGAACAGGAATGCAATGAGATCCAGAACCTAAAGAAACAACTCGAGTTCAATAATCACGCGCTGACAGAACGACTGGAAAGTGCGAACGAACAGCACGAGAGAGATGATGCTTTGATCAGCGAACTACGTGAACGCCTCGGAGAAATGGACGGCTTGCCAGGTAGCGCGTCGCCTGGCTCTGAGACGCCGAAGATGCAAGGGACTTTACACAAGGACTTTGAGGCCCTGGGTGTCAAAGAGTCTCAACTGTATGTATAATCTGCTTCCGCGGTCTTATTGAATGCTAACCATTGACAGTAAATCTGAGAATGATGACTTGAAGCGGGAGATGGAATCGATCAAAGCACCTTCAGCTGTATGTGGACCACATATTCTCTACGATATTTTCTTGATACTAACAACCACTAGCCGGCCTCCCACACTGGAGGCTTCTCCGAAAACTTTGCTGCATCTGTGCACCTGGCACGCTCTGGTTCCACCCAAAGGTTTGACCGCCCAACTTTTCGCTTCAATGAACAATAGATCTGACATGCTTCGTAGTGACGATTATTGGAAACTATATGAGAACTATACCGGAGCTCTCAAAAAGATTGCAGAGGTTCAGGACACCTTGGAAACAACCAAAAGGGACCTTTCTGATACACAGGCTGAACGTAAGTCAGATCACTCCGGTCCTACCTGTCTGAGAAACATCTCTGACTTATAAACCTTTGAAGTTGGTCTTGTCAATATGGAGCAGGTCGAGATGCTCCAAGGGCTCGAGGCGCATAACTCGGCTGAATTAACAAAAGTCCGGGATAACTGGGAAAGCCTCACGCAGAACATCCATCATCTAGAGGCAGAAGTTGATGCTAGCCAGACGCTGGTGCGCGAAGTCTGTGCGGAACGAGAGGAACTGCGCAAGATGCTTGATAACAAGCAAAGCGAGATCAGCTCCGAAGATCAGGAAGTGATGAACGAGATGCAGATGCTCCTAGGCGAGTTTGAAACTCACAATACCGAGGGTGGCGAAGTGCCCCAAAAATCGAGCTTCGAGCTCTTGAAGCAGTGTGCGGGAGTTCTGGAGAAGAATGTCGAACGACTCGCTCAGCGTGCGGAGGTCGGTTTTTCACAAATGATCCTCGCTGGGACTTATTTGCTAACTCTACCTTTGATCTGTAGTACATCCAGCAACAAAATGAGCTGGTCAAATCACTTCGTGAGCGTATGAAAAACTACGAAGAAAACCTGGACGACGGCATTTCCAAAGAGCGAGAGGTAAGTCAAAGATGGAGCTGTTTTATGCTTCATCCCTTGATCACGTTTGGTTTTACAGTATGCTGACGAAATCTTTAGCTTGAACTTCAGACTATTATCGACAGCCAGGCCCGAGAACTCAACCTTGTGGGCTCGGCTTGGTATCACCTTCAGAGCCGATGGCAGAACAACAATATGACGGTGTCACGATATCGACATGGAGCCAGTACGGGAGATTCTAAGGGCTGGCTAGCAAAGCAAAGAAGCGCCGTTGCTGGTTAGTAGAATGCCTTATGAATGAAGTGTGTGCTATTTGCTTTACATATGCGTTCTGTTTTTGTTTTTGTTTTTTCGTTTATTGTTTTGGATGTTGATATTCCCAACATCCCGTCTTATTCTTGTGGTTATTTCTATGACAATAGAATATACGTCATTCAAATAGAACTTGTCATTTAAAGAACTGGAGAGTTCTGAGTTGATCAGATGGTAAAGTAGAGAGTGAGTTCGTCGCATTCCGAAAATGTAAGCTACCTAAGTGGATCCCCTCAGGAAATAAAACATGTCTATGAAAAATACAAAAGTCTAGGTAACCTAGCCCGAGAAAGGAGAAATAAAAGGGGGGATGCAACAATTATAAAACATGATCTCTATACAACCTGACCGAAAGCGGGAATCAAAGTCTGTGCCAGCCAGAAGCTGAAGACGAGCTTGGGACCTGTCATCAACAGCTTGGGAGTCAGACCCTTGAAGAAGCTAGTAGGGCCCTCGTTCTTAAGCATGTTGGAGACGATCTTGAAGCCAGACTCGGGGTTCTCGAAGTTGCGGTTCTGGATACGGGTCTTGATGACATCGAGAGGAGCGGACACGATCAGGGATGCGCTAGCACCGCAGACTGAAGCGACGAAGTTCTGGCCCCAGGTGGCGGTGTTGTAATCGGTCAACTTGTAAATCTTTTCCTTGGCGAAAGCAGATCCACCGAAGAGCTGGAACATGAAGGTTAGTAGTGATTCAATGAGAACAGACCGGAGAAAGCATACAGCGAAGGATCCAGGAGCGTTACGGGCGGCAGTCCAGCCAGCACCACGGTACAGACCCATACCCTCATCGGCAACAATCTTGAAAAGGCCACGGCCACGGAAGGCATCGGGGTTAGTCTGACGCTTAATCTTAAGAACATCCAGAGGGAGCAAAATGATCTCTCCAATGCCGATCAAACTAAATGATTTCAAGTCAGATGAATTCTCATTCCCAACTGATTGTTCTTACCTTCCAGCAGTGGCGTGCATAATAGCCTTTCCGGTACCCTTGCCAAATGCTTTATCGAAGTCGGCACCGTGGTGCTTAGCGAGGTAATCACGGGCGAAAGGCTGACCACCGTACTTGTAGATGCGCTGGAGAACCTATATATTTGAAATGGTATGAGCCGGTTGTTCTCTTGTTCTTCAATAGGAACCACGAACCTTGTAACCGGCAGCGTATCCCAGACCGGGGAACAGAGAGGTGAACTTGCGACCAATGGTGGCATTGACGTGCTCTCTGAAGACAACCTGCTTGAAAGCGGCAGCGTTGGCGATCTGTCAAGAATCCAGTCAGCAATAAAACACCTTTTGTAAATAATCCCAAATCTCACCCGGGTCTGGTTGCTCATCAATCGCTTGGCGGTAGTGTCAACCTATGGATGTCAATGTTTTGATCGGAATGATTCTCAATTCGAAGACGATCGTACGGGGTGGAAGATCAACAACTCAGCAATACCGGCAGAGCCTAGAAGAGTCAATAACGAGTTTGTGTCTTGGAGCGTTTGACTTACCGGAACCAAGGAGACGAGCAGTGGCAGACTCCTTCTTGACATCTGTGGAAGCAGTGCCAGCACTGGCAATAGCGGGAGACATATTTGTTTCTAAAGAAAATCCCAAAAAAAAAAAGACAAAGCTAGAGAATGACAACGCCGAATGGTTCAAGTCAGGAACATCTCGGAGTTAAATTTTATCGCGGGATTTGGCACTAGTCCCCTTTTGGAACCGCCATCGGAGGGCCAAGTTCAGTATATTGTCTATATATTAGATTTCTAGAAGTAAATTATTATATCTCTTCATTTATAGAATATGACTCTGTATTTAATTCATTTCTCCCCCGTAAATTCCCGTTATATAGAAATAAGTGTTTCTTCACGATACA